GCGGTGCACGGGCTGCCCCCTCTGGGCACCACGAGCAGGCTCAGGGGTTCCTGCCTGCGGCACAAACCGAGAGGCAGATGCTCTGTGTCCCCTGAGACCGGGGCAGTGAGGTGGGTGGGGGACAGTCAGCATTGCTTGCATGCCCAGTAGATGGTGCTGGTAGTCAGGAAAACCGGCAGCATGTGGGAGCCAGACCTCCCTCTCCACGGGAACAGGCGTGAGGGACCAAGTCTGTCGGGGACGAAGTGTGAAATGTTTTGGACATGGTTCCTGGGAAGCGGGTCCAGCTTCCCCAGCCAGTGAGCAGTCTGCTGGGCAGCCGCTGGGCTGTGAGGCGTGTTTGTGCCCAGTTGCTGGGATTATCCCCCAAGGAGGGGTTGCTTGCCTTGGAATCTGGTGATGACACTGGCTGAACATGCTCATTTGAAAGGTCAGAGCTTACCCTGGCACGGGAAGAAGGAGAAGCTCCACGTTGGGTACAAGTTCTTTGGTGCACAGTCTGGCAGGCGGGACCTCCTGAGACACCAGGCCTGCCTGAAGGGAACAAGCTGTGCCCGTGGCTTTGACCTGCGTGGAGCTCGTAGGCACCCTCACCTGAAAGCCATGGAGGGACACAGGGCCTGGCAAGCACAGCCCTCTGCAGTCACCCCACAGCAGAGGGAGTCGGGCGGAGCAAAAGACTTTAGAAACAGCAAAGGAAAAGACACTGATTGTTGGGAACAGTTACAATGAAACTGCTCCTGGGAGTGTTGCTGGTCGGGATGTTACTAGAGGGAAATCCAAAACATGGGCTAGCTCTTCATGCAGTATGTGGTAGAATTTGCTGGTGGTTTTTGTTCTGGGTCCTACCTGCCAAAGCAGACAAGTGGAGCTGCAGCAGGAAGGGCTGGTCCACCCCAGAAGGGTGTGTGGTGGTCTGACCTGTTCGGACAGGTGACCTGTGTCCCCAGCAGTGCTGACCCAGCTGGCAGCTGTTCCGGCAGTTTCCAGCTCTCCCTGTCCTGTTAGGACTTTTCTGTTTTTTGACAGGAAGATGGTGGTGTCTGGGTGCCCCTGGGGTGTGCAGCTGTTCTCTCATCCTTAGCGGTGTGCAGGGGTGCAGGAAGAGAAGTTCTGTGCTGCAGTCTCTGAGCCCAGGCAGCCATGGTGGGGTGGGAGCCCGGCTCTGCCCCCAGCTCCTGACCCTGATGCTCATTTTCACTTTGCAGCATCCTTGCTGAGCTGAAGCTGCGTGACCCCAGCTTCCCTGATGTCTCCTATGGAGTGCTGATCCACAAGGTGATCATTGGCTCCCCTGCCCATCAGTAAGTGCTGCCCTGTGCCTTGGGGGGGTGCCATGAGGGAGCAGCTATGCAGGATTTGATGTAATTAGTTCCAAGTGCTTTGCTCCAGAGCAGCAGGGCTTGTGCCCCACAGCCATCAGTCTGCAGCAGAAACCCACTGGTGACCCCTGCCCAGGCTTGGTGTCCTGTTGGCCAAGCCATCCGGGTGGCCAGAGGGACGCCCAGTGCAGCAGCCCAAGGCTCGCAGAGCTCCCGGGAAGAGGAAGCTGAGTGCCTGCTCCACCTGCTGAGCGTTCCTGCCACGGTTCTCCCCACAGGGCAGGGGTGAAGGCGGGGGATGTGGTGCTGGAGATCAACGGGCAGCCGTCACGGCGTGCGGAGGACGTGTACGAGGCGGTGCGGACGCAGCAGAGCCTGGCCCTGCTGCTGCGGCGCGGCCACGACGCCCTGCTGGTCAGCGTTGTCCCCGAGGTCACCGAGTAGCGCTGCCGCTGCGGGAGCACGGGCTGGCCCGGCTGGCCCCAGGCAACAGGACACAGGACATCCTAGCCTGGGCTGCTCAGGGAGAGACCCAGAGCTTGTGAGGGGCTGGAAGGGGCTGGGCAGAGAGGCCCGGCCCAGTGCTCAGGTGGACTCGTGGTGCAGCCGTTCCCCTCTGTACCCAATAAAGCACTTTTCTAGGGACCCCAGGGTCACATCGCTTTCTTCGCACGCAGCAGTGGTAGCGGAGGGGAGGCTGGGCTGTGTGGGACCCTGCCTGTCCTGTCAGTCAGTGTCCTGGCACAGGATCACACCTCCTCGGGGTCAGGCAGACATGTCCTGCTACCTGCACAGGCTGGAATCCAACTCTTCTGTCTGGGAGCACCTGAGGGGCACCCCACTGGCTGTGGCTCCTGAGGCCACCCCTGCAGTGCATGGGGCCCTGGAGCTGCTCCGTGGCTGGCTGGGCCCTGGGGGGTCTTCCGGGGGGCTGGGGGGGGT